GCCCAAACAGCAAACAAAAAAACACGCCCCTGCCCAAACAGCAAAAAAAGTAACACCCGAAAAGCCCAAACAACAAAAAAGACCAGACAACCAAAAAATAAACACTCTTACCGGTTTAGGCTTTAGGGTTTAGGGTTTGGGGTTTAGCGTTGAGGGTTCAGAGTTTCGTGTTTAAGGTTGAGGGTGATGTGGCTGGGCAAATGCTGAGGTTCAGCTCCCTACTTGGAGGTTCAAGGGACTTACTAAGTAGGCTATTATCCCTATAACATATTCATATGCAGCAACGCTAAGCGAGAGAGAGAGAGAGAGAGAGAATCGACCAGCACATACGGTGCGGCCTGCCGCCCACGTCCCCTCGACGTCTCAGGGGGGCTCCGTAAACGTCATCGCCCCCCTCCGTCCCAGAGTTCAAGTGGGGGAGCTAGCTAATGCGGACAGGAGGCTTGAAAAACCCTAATTCCGGAACAAAATTGTGCTGGTGCACTCTTTTGCGAGGAATAAGCCCATGACAAGAAGTGTGGTGTATGCAGAGTGAAGCACTTGCTCTCGTACCACATTGGCGGCTTTGTCCATGTAGCAGCTGGTTCACGTGCCAGCGTGCTTGTAAATGTTCGACGTGCTTGGAACGAAGAAGGGTGAACATGTCTTGTTTGCTGTTCTGCTGGCTGCACTGTAGGGAAGTAATAGTAAGACACCACATGTGCAAGTACCCTGAGAAAAGTCAGCAAGACAGAACATGCGCGAATACAGAAAGATTAGTAAGACAGAACATGCGCAAATACAGAAATTGCAGCAACACTAATTCTAACTATCCCAATCAATAATCTACTTACCAAATCCCTCTGACCCTTCAAGTAGAGAGGCGCTGCGTGACTTGGAAGCTCTGGTAGATGCGGCGGGTGAAAAGGGTTTTTTTGCTTACTTGATGCAAACCTGTGTAGCAGTGCTAGGAAAGGTCTCTCAGCTTCTTAGTGCCTCACAGGGTAACCCATTATAATTTTAAGCAAGTTTCTTCGCCTTGGGGGAGAGAGAACCTCCGTCCAGCAGGTTGTTCGGGAATGGAGTCGACGACCTCTCCAATGGAGCTAAGGGTTTCGCCCAATTAAGGAAACATGTATGTTAACCATACTAAAACGCCATGAGGAATATGCAAGTATTCACTATTTAAAGACGAGACTTAAAAGAACCCCGATCTTCGGAGGACCTTTATAGTGATATGGGTTGCAATAGGTAGCGTAATGATACTTGCAATGGTCATAATAGCAAGACTAGTAACAATAAACGTAATAACACGTCGAATTAAACATGAACCAATGATAACAGTATTTGACATGATGATATCCAATATATCGAAAGGAAAGATGGCCGCAACAACGATCATAACACTTAACAATATAGTCCCCCTAAATAAGTATATTACAATAAGATACCCATATACCCACATTCTATCTACATAAGGGGGACTATAATACCCCCAAACCCTAAACCTAAAACCTTAACTAGTAGTTTCCATTTTCTTTTCCTACTGTGATAGTCGCCCTTATGTTGATTTATAGGGATTTATAGTGGTTTTTTTCATTCCTATAAAACCCCTATAAGTCCCTATAAATCTACATAAGGGCGACTATCACAGTGGATCGATCTCCGCAGGACCTTTCCGCAGGGAGCCGGCTCGGCCTTTTGATCGACCGGAACTCCTGGGAGCTCACGGCGAGCCCGCCGGGATTTCGAGACTTTGCAAAAGAAGGGGGTTTAGGGTTTAGGGTTCCTGTTTGAGAATTTTCATAGTACGTTGGGGATATTGGGGTTTAGGTTTTAGAGTTTTTCAAAAAGGGCTCTAGTATATTGGGGCCTCTGTTGTGGCCCCGCCCCCGCTAACCCATAATCGATGTAGTAACCCTCTTTATGCCCACTACGAACCTACTTACTAAGTCCCCCTGACCCTCCACCTAAGCCCTATAAACCTTGAGGCCTGAAAACCCAATCAAGGGATTCGGGTTTAGAGCGGCGGATGATGAGGCAGGGCTTTCAGGGTTGAGTAGGTCGATGGGCGGGATCCTGCGAGTTTTTTTTTTATTTATCTAAATTATGGGCAGTAGTCTCCTTTTCCCCTCTTTATTTTGGGGTCTCCCTATTAAGACAGAACATTAGGAAAAAGGAGACCCTTATAAATAAGGGGTTACTGGGTAACCTAGGTTAAGTACTACTCATAACAGTACCAGCAATAGTACCCCAGGCAGTGCGTGGAAGCAACTACAGTTTAGGCCGTTTAGGGTTGGGTTGTGTTAAGGTTTAGGGTTCAGAGTTTAGGGTTTAGGGGCTAGGGGGCTTGGTACTTCGAAATACGACACCCCAAATATACATATATATATATATAGTCCTGCTCAAGTAGATAGAATATGGGCTGTATGAGGATCTGATGAGTATTTTGGGATTTCCAGATTCTATCTACTTGAGGGGTGCTTATGCCCCAGATATTTCAATAATTCCACCCCCCTCCCTGTGGGGGTTGCAGGGGAGGGGTAACAGTCGGGGTGATTTGGTTTTTAAGGGTCAGGGCTAGGGGTCGACCTCAAGGTCCAGGGTGTCGGGTTTAGGGTTCAAAGCTTCCAAGGCAGTAGATAGCATTTCGCAGCTTTCAGGTTATAGTCTCCCTTAAGTAGACAGAATATGGCTTTGGGTATATGATAGTAAGATCCCCATAGACCCCATATTCTCTCTACTTAAGGGGACTATAGTATCGGAGTTCTGGGATACAGGAATTGCAGGGTTTAGGATTTAGGGTTCAGGGCTTAGGGTTTAAGATCTAGGGTTTAGGGTTTAGGGTTCAGGATTAGGATTTAGGGTTTAGGATTGGGTTTAGGATTTGTCGAATCGCTGCCGACAGAGCTCCTGTGTTCATATTATGTGTATACTTGTACAGAGGTATGCCATCTAGATAGTACTACGCATGGAGAATCGAAAAAGGTTGTGTTAGGAGTGCCGTTCTAAAAGCTTTACAGCCACTCAGATTTCCCAAAAGCAGAGAAGAGGTATCTCTGGGGTAGAAGGTTTAGGGTTAAGGGTTTAGGGGTTGAGGGTTCAGGGTGTAGGGTGGAAGGAGGAAATCCTGCACCACTTCGGAGCCCCAATGTACTGTAACTCCTAGGGCATAGTTTATATTCGGTGTGGCGCAAGATGTCCTACGTCCCCCTGGGTTTCCTCACGGTAACCCGCCTAAGTGCCCGCTGTGTTTAGTGGAAGAGCTCATTCCCTTAACTAGCGATCCAAATAGCTCAAAGGTCCCAAAGTAGATCTCATTTGTAGATTAAGATCTATCATCTGCAGAATTCCTTGGTAGTGGAGGCCTTTTAAGCCCCAACCCCTGTAGTTCCCTAATTGAGCCATAGTCTAGACTCCTCAGAAGGGGTTATATAGGGGATCATATAGGGGACTATATTAGGGGTTATTAAGGGGGATACCAGGGGTTCAGACTATAGCTCATATGATATATCCCTTAGTATTCCAAATCCCTCGCAGCCAGGTTTTCATGAATGGCTGCAGAAAGGCGCATCGGGGACAATTACTTTGAGGGTCATGGGGACTTAGCAAGTAGGTAGGGTACAAACATGGAAGCTTAGACTTTAACCCTTTTGGGTTTCCTTTTTGGGTCTCTATAATAAAGCTTAAACTTTTTTAGCCCTGGTTATTGGGGAAGAGAGTTAAGGGTGAGCCTAAACAAGCATGGAAGCCTAGTTGGAGGGTCAGGGGGACTTAGCAAGTAGGATACTAACCCCTATAACCCATATGGTAACCGTAAGTGTCCCCCTTACTAAGTCCCCGAGACCCTAAACCCTAAACCCTAAATTGTAGTTTCCACTTGCTTTGCCATTTCTCACTAAGTCCCCCTGACCCTCTAAGTAGGTAGCACCTTTTCCAACGGACAGTAATCTTTGTAGGGGCCCTGTTAGGCTTCCATGGCTTGTTTGAGGGAGTGTCATAGGTTTAGTGTTTAGGGTTCACAGTTTAGGGTTCAGTCAGGGTTTAGGGTTTCGGGCTCAGGGTTTAAAGTTCAGGGTTTAGGGTCTAATTAGGGTTAATGGTGAAATTGATTGAGGCTGCTGAAGCCTGGATTGGGCCTTTGTTACGGACATGCTTGGACCTCTTCCCAGAGCCCAGAATGTCTTCAAGACCAGGGAAGGTCGATGTTTTGGAGTAGCAGATTGGGGGCACGCCTTCTGGTCGACATGGTCTTACAGAATCCTGAGTGCCAAGCCCTTACGTTAGGGTGCTGAGGGGGTCACGGTCTAGGGTTATTCAGGGCTTAATTTGGCTTTATGGAGCGCCCATTACCTTAATTGCAAGCATCCACATGGGATTTCCGCTATGCCCCCCCAGGTCTGTAAGAGCTTGCCGTACTCGCTGCAAGATTATTCCCGAAGAGCCGGCCCTAAACCTTCAGTCCTAAACTCCCAAACCTCTACTTGCTCTCTCAACCCAAAACACTGAACTCCGAACCCTGAATGAACTCTACAGCCTAAACCCTAAACCCTAAAACCCTGAATCCCGAAAGTCTTAATACCCTAAAACCTAAAACCGTAAACCACAGCAGGTGACTGTTTCCATACCGAATGAGGTGTCACCGCCGGACCCTTAGCTTTTTTCTGGGTTGCTGTTAAGGAATTTACTTTAAGTTACCATACTAGGGGAAATATAACACCCGTTATGGTAACTTAAGCCCTAAACCCTAAACCCTAAATCCTACACCCTAAGCTCTGCATACCCGTTATGGTAACTTTTTTTAAGTTCCTTGACAGCAACCCCAGTTTTTCCGACGTCCAGGCAACATCGCAGCTGGGTTCTCAGCTTGCTCAGGGTAGGGCTTGGCTGGTCTAGGGGTCTATAGGGTATAGGGTTTGAGGGTTTCAGGGTTTCCGGTGTAGGGTCTATAGGGTTTAGGGTCCATAGGGTTTTGGGTCTAGGGCTTCAGGGTTCAACCTTGGGACTCTAAGGTTTACGCGGTTCTTCGTTTAGGGTTTGGGTTGGGTACTGCCCCCTTATTACTGTTACTGAGTGGGGGCAGTGCCTAAGCCCTAAACCTGGAACCCTTAACCTCAAACCCTGAACCCCAAACCCTGCACTTCAGTAGGTCCACAAATTCAATGAGCCATAGTCTAAAATCCTAGTATTCCCCTTGATACCCGCTATAGTAGTCCCTTATATAATCCCCTAGATATCCCCCTTTAAGGAGTTTAGAGTGTAGCTCAAAGGCCCTTTCAATGCCGAGCCTCGGCTCACCCTGAGGCGCCCGACGGAGGTCTGGGGGATCGTTGACGTGCACGGGAACGCGGTGAGCTTGGAATCTGACCCAAAGGGTCCATGCTTGGAGGGTCAGGGGGAACTTAGGAATAATGGAAAAGACAATGGAAACTACTATAGGGTTGAGGGTTTAGGATTTACGGTTTAGGGTCAGGGGGACTTAGTAAGTAGGTTCATAATGGGGATAGTTACGGTTACTATAAGGGTTGTGGGGGTTCTTAACCTACTTACTACTTGGAGGGTCAGGGGGACTTAGTAAGTATGGTAATAACCCCTATAACCCATATAGTAAGTCTATTTATCTCCATCATTAACCTACTTACTAAGTCGCCCTGACCCTGCAAGTAAGCCCCCTGACCCTCCAACTGCTGTAGCTAGAGTTTAAACTCCTGGAAAGGCGTTTTTTTGAGCACTTTTATAGGGGGTCTTTGAGGGGGATACGAGGAGTTTAGACTACAGCTCATATACAACTTACGTGGGCCCCAAAAGGGTTCCCAAATAGCTTCTTTAGGCCCCAAATATTTGGACTTCAGGTCCCGAATACCAGTCAGAGACTGGTATTTGGCCCCCTAAAGTTTTTTGGGCCCCTAAAGTCTGAGTGCTTGGACCCTTAGGGTGTGATTTTCATGTGGACGGGGATTCATTCAAATCAAGGCCCGCTCACTGACCCTAATATAAGATAAGTCTAGTCCAAAATCATACTCTCAACCCTGAGCCCTAGGGCCTTCATAAGGATCCGAGTACGTTGAGGTCATATATACATATATCAATCCAAGGGGAACCAAATAGCCCTATGTAGGTAACATTTACAGACTTTAGGGCCGAATGTAGGTATTCTTTGTATATTTGGATCCCTAGGATATACCCTAAACCCTAAACGGTAGAGCCCCGCTTCCAGAAGCGCCCAAGCTTGTTACATCAGACCATGCACCCGCAGCTGCTCAAGTCTCTGACTGTTACTTTGGATGTAAGCTTTTACACGTCTAAGGGTTCATAGGGATTTAGGGTTTAGGGTCTAGGTGTATAGGGGTTAGGATTTAGGGCTTAGTAGGGGTTTCGGCGCTTACCCCTTTGCGATAACAAGTCTTCTGACAGTACCAAAGGGAATTACTGGAACATGCATCACTATGGGCAGGGGTTGTTTCTTCGTTGCCCCTCCGCCTGGCCGATCATTCCTTCAAACACCCCTAAACCCAAAACCCTAAGCCCAAAGCCCTAAACCCTAAACCATCGTCAAAGAACCTCGTCCTCGCCTTCCCATGGGCAGAAGGGATTGCTTCCACTCTCTCCATGGAAGTTTCAGCTGGGTAGTTTTCCCCATAAGCCTGGCATAGCCCTTTCATATTTCATAATCTCCTCATAAAAGTTATTGTCTAAACTCCTTAAAGGCGGGTATATAGTGGTTATGTAGGGGACTATTATAGAGGTTTTTAAGGGGCTACCGAGAGTTTAGACTATAGCTCATATAAGCAGTAAATTAGCCTTATGCAAGGCTCTGCACGCTGTACCTCCATACCCGAAAATTCGTTTATCTCCCCTACGGGTGCAAGTACTCAATAATTGTATACTACCCCAAAGCCTGTGGTTTAGGGATGGGTGGGTTAGGTTTTACGCATCTTTTGCTATCATCAAATCCCCAGTACCCAATTATTGGGTACAAGGACCCTAAGCCCCATATAGCCCTACACGTGCCTAAGTACCCAATTATTGGGTACATGGGCCCTAAAACCCAAGCAGCCTCTTATATATATATATATATATATTCTATCCCTATATCTCCCTATATGCCCCTTGACAGGGACCGAATTATTGGGCACATGAACCTTTAGGGACTATACTACCTGCAATGGATGCCGAGGTCCGATCTGTTCGCTTGCGAGGGAATCCGGAGAATAGGTGCGGATGCAAGTCGGTTTAGGGCTTAGGGCTTAGGGTTTAGGGCTCCGGGTTTAGGGCTTAGGGTTTGGGGTTTGGGGCTGAGGGGTTTACGGCTTAGGGTTTAGGGCTCAGGGTTTAGGGCTTAGGTAGGGCGGTCAGACTGCTGACCGTTAACGGGTTTAGGGTGCAGTGTTTGGAGGTTAGAGCTTGGGTCGCCAAGCCTTCCCTCCATTTGTTTAAATCCCACATGTTCTGTATATAGGGATTATATAAGGGAGTATATAGAGGGCCTATTAAGGGGGATACTCGCAGTTTAGACTTCAGCTTGCATGTTCTTGCCCAAGCGTTTGTCCCTAACAGGGGGTGCAGGATCCCCCCTTGAAGCCCATCCGCCCACCCTGAATCCTCAAGCCTCATAGCGTGCCAACGGACAGCTGTCAGAGATGCGCAGATTTGAAGTAGATAGAATATGGCTTTGGAGATCCCCATATACCCCACATGCTTTCTGATTAAGGGGGAGCATATAGTGTAGGGATCGATGTTGAGGGGTTCATGGATAAATTTTGTGGTGGTCCTCCCAAATTGCGCTGCGACATGGCATGCTTCTGTGGGGGGCCTAAACCCTTGACTGGAATAACGGAAAATAACATGGAAACTACTATGTCACTACTACTACTACTACTACTACTACTACTACTACTACTTCTATTATTACTATTAGCATTATTGTTACTGTTGTTATAATATCTACACCCTTAAACCCTAACACTTCTTCAGCCGCCTCATAAGGATTCGTTAAACACTGAAAACCCAGACCCCTGGGAGGATCTAGAAAGTAGAACCCCCAATTTGGTTCCCTATACTACTATTGGGTAATTCCTAGGAACCCTTAAGGGGGATCTACTTTCTAGATCCGCCCAGGGGTCTGGGAAACCCTAAAGACCTTGATGCCATTTTCAACAGCACCCAACCTCTGATAGTTCCTCATAGCTGCTCCGAAAAAGAATTCTGGACAGGTCTCCCTACTTGGAGGCCCATGGGACTTAGTAAATACTTATAACTGGCATTATAACCCTACTTATAATTGGGGTAACGCCTATAAGCCCATTTAGGAGGATTATAAGTAGGGTTATAAGCCCAGTTATAAGTGGTTACTAAGTCCCATAGGCCTCCAAGTAGGCCCCCTTATAACCTCCCTATAGTTCAGGCATCTCTTGGCTATCTCTTTTCGAGGAGCGCTTGCTGGGCTTTTTGTGAAGCCCCTGAACCTTACCTAGACCTCAAAAATGTGTAAAATGATAGCCCAGAACCACTGAAAACAGGCCAAAAGGCCATTATTCTTCATACTTTTGAGATTCAGGTAAACCCAAGACCCTAAGAATGTTGAGAAGCCCACAGCACTTTCTAAGAAGAGGTCAGCGGTGCTTGCTCAGCGCTCAGCGTCATCTCTGTCGGAGCAAGGGTGAGGTTTCTGCTGTACTGAATGCTGTACTTGGAAGGTCATGGGGACTTAGTAAGTAGGTTAATAACCACTAAAAGCCAAAGCCATATTAATATAGTAACCTCAATCATCGCCATTATGAAGCTACTTGCTAAGTCCCCATAACCCTCCAAGTAGCGTTTTGGGTTTAGACCTTTCGACGTTTGCTGCAGATAGAGCTCCATGAAACCTTTGGATATGTAGGGGTTCTAGTGGAAAAGGGGCTGCAAGTGTAAGCCCAAATGGGGTAGCGGTTGTTCTGCGAAGCTCCCAAGATCAAAGAACATTGAGGCTCAATAATTTTGTGTGTAGCGCTCGATGATGTCTTTAAGGTGTAGATTTCAGGGCATTGCGTTGCCTGTCGGATTTAGAATCTTTGACGTTTTTGCGGTGGCAAGCACTTGATAATAAAGCGGCAGTGTCTACTGGCATGTTGGAAGATGAGCCTTGCTGAGCCGTTCCTCGTAAGTCAAAAGGAGCTTAAAGGAGGTTGATACTGATACAGAGATCTCGCCCTATCTCAGGAGTTTAAGGGCAGTTCACGAGACAGGCAGTAAACCTTCAGCTCTGAAATAGGGTGTTTAGCTAAAATTCCAACAAACCTGCCCTCCATTGGGTTTACATACATGGCCTGTAGCTCTTCCCAAGGACCACCGTTTACCCACCAGATGTTCTGTATGCCTTCAAACCTGATCGCTAAAGCCTAAGTTATACAACTAGCTAGAGAAGGAGGGAAATCCCCCTAGCTACAAGAGGAATATAAACGATGAGCCCCACACCTAGCTGCAGAAAACGATTACAAACCCTGGGCCCATACCCAAATGCCTTCCTTCAAAGAAGGGTACCGCCGCGCCCTAAGCCCTGAACTAGAAGAGGAAGAAGAAGAAACAGAAGAAGAGGGTAAGCCTGCACACCATACGACTTAGGACAAGAGGGTATACAGCCTGTGCCCTACCGTAGACCCTAAACTCTGTTCATACTTAGCGTGAAAGCATCAATGTGCACAAAAGGTGAGATGGAGGTAGGTGGGCTAGAGGAGGCCTATTGCAGATTCTATTTCCTATACCCTCCCTTAAGGGTGCAAGTACCTAATAATCATATACTTACCCAAAACCTGTACTAGAATTACTATTGCCCAAATCCCAAGTACCTAATTATGGGGTACATGGACCCTCAGGGCCCACCTTCCTTTGCCTCATCTGTTGAGCCATCCGACAACAAACGTGCAGAATCCTTCGACTACCAGGCCGCACCTCTACCACCACAGTGGGCTCTGCAGGCCATGCAGAGGGCTAGGGTCTATGCTTTAGGGGCTCAGGGCTTGTAAAGGGTCCATGGTTCAGTTTGGGATTTAGGTGGTAGGGTTTACGGATTAGGGGCAAGGGTTTGGGGTCTATGGTTTAGGGTTGCTCGATTCCAAATTCTGGCCCCATTCTTGCACGCCAAAATGCTTGGTACTGTGCTGTACGGGCTGCAAAGGAGAGATGTTGACTCACAACTATTCGAGAAAACTCCATATGAGCCGTAGTCTGAACTCTTAGTATCCCCCTTCTTTAAGGAGTTTAGACTATAGTACATTTGTGCATTTCCAGAATCGGGTGCCCCAAAATATGGATCCAATACAGGGACTCCAAAACGGGGCGCGTAATGGACCGCCTCCCCCCAAGGCCCGATATATTATGATGCCATTTGACTCCCGGTGGGGAGCCGGGTTAGGGGCTCTGCTTTTTGAACCTTCCTGCGTGGTTGTGGGCCCGCCCTGCACTGCCAGGCGCCACAGACGCCCTTGCGCTTGGCATCAACGCAGGACCGTCCAGGTAGTAGAAGACACCCGGACCCAAACCCTAAACCCTAAATCCCCAACCCTTTGACCAATGTAGCTAAAACTAGGTACAAGTTCTATCCCAAGTTGGTATCAGTCATAGGCGTAGCGCCAGGGGAAGCTGTATTGTCCGTACCCGACTCGATAGAGGTGTTTTTTCATGTACTTTAGGGGCCTAAATAATTACCAATATTCTGGTTCCATATTCCTTATATAAATATGATGCCTCGAATGGACCTCGCAATCTCTGCGGGGATCAGCGCCTATTTCGCCCATGTCTTAAGTGCCCGAAGCCCAAAGCGTCCAAGCACAGATGAGGCTTACGGGCCTGTGCTGCTTGTTTTCTACCCTACACTTTGACACTCTTTTGGTTCCTAGGTTCTTATTATAACAACTTGTACCTAAAAAGTCTATACTTTTTTCTGGGGTGTACTCCAAACTAGAGTCTATGAGCTATGCTTCAGACCGTCATGCATGAGTGAGGTTTGCTGTTCATGTCATGTTGGCATGACGTCAGAAAGTAAGTTTGCTGCACAAATCATGTGGGTGCTTCCAAAATTCTGGGGTCCCCTTTTGCAGGTCCACGTACATTACATATCGCGGATGTATATTGGGCTTGTTATTTTTTTCGGAAACCTCGCTGTTGGTTTTGCCGAACTGCAGTTAACTGCAGACTGCAGTTTATGTTACTTCTCCCTGGCCTGGCACAGTATAGGGGCTCGCGCATACCCCTATCCAAACTGCCAAAAGTAGGTAGTGTTTATAGACGTTTTCCAAACTTCCAAAAGTAGGCAGTGTTTCTAGACTTTCAGGCCCAAAATAGATTAAGATGCTCAGGGTAGTAACTTTAGGGAATGCATGTTAACGTACACCCCTAATTAACAAACCCCTTCCCTTTAATAGGGATTACAATGGGGATCCTGAGATTTTTGGCCCTTAAAAGGAGGAGGTTTATTAATCATGGGTTTACAGTTTTACGAAGGTCGCAATATGGTTGGAGGAGGAGCGCTAGGCTCCCAGATGTTTTTTTTTATACAGGAGGCCACTTAAGTGCAACGTATAAACCACACGCATCTTCTAAGCCCCATGGCCCCATGCAATGATTGCACCATAGATTGAAAAACTAAACCTTCAACCCTCAAGCTTATACCCTGAACTCTAAAGCCTCATCGTAGACATGATGTATATACCCCTATATAATTCCAATATAAAGCCTGTCTATATGTACATATACCTATATTTCCCCTATACTAAGCCTAGAGACAAGGTGGCCCTGCTAGAGAATTCATGTTCACATGGGCACGTATCCGCGAATCAGTTCGGGTTTCTTCGACGTTTTTAGGGTTTAGGATTTATGGCTTAGGGGTTCGAAACACGACCCACAGAAGATCCTTGAATCCTTGCTCAGATGTTCATAGGGGCTTACTAATTTCATATGACTGGGCTTGATCTGAAACAAGTGGTTTAGGGTTTACCCATCCCCAAAAGTATGTAGAACAACTGCTTTTCTGTGTTTTTTTTTGTGGGACTTTGGGCCATAATTCTACCTACTTTGGGGGTCCACGTGGGGTTTAGGGAAGGGGCAAGCAGGAGAACGCCTCAACTCCGCTGGCGGATCGAGGTTCACAGCTAGAAGTTTCCAGGGTCTTAGGATTTGGTCCGAGGTTGTTTTGGGTCTAGGGTTTAAGATTTTAGGGTTTCTGGGGTTAAAGGTTTTTGATTTGTGGGTTTCAGGGTATGGGGTTTTAGGGTTTAGGCTTTTGGGTTTGGGGGTTTAGGATCCTGGGGTCGAGGTTGAGTTCCCAGGCAGCTCTGTTCAATTCTCCGGGCTAAGGGTAAGGGTGCAGCTGGATGTGCCAAATGCCCATAACCCTAAGGGTCCAAGTACCTAAGAATCACATACTTACTCGAAACCTGCACTATAATTACTATTAAAGCCCTTACTTCCTAATTATTGGGTGTTTGGACCCTTTGGCTAGAAAAGAATGGATGAGTGAATGAGTGCGTGAGTACATGAGCCCTAAACCCTAAACCCTGAGTGAGTAGTGAGTAAATGAGCCCTGAGCCCTGAAGCCTAAACCCTAAACCCTCTGTGAGTC